CTTGAGGAAGGAGCAGAAGGTAAGGAGCTGGATTCACTCTCACTATCCATCCCCCCTGTATGAGATGACGCAGAGGATGAAAAGGAAGCTCGGAACGTAAGGTTTTGTTCAAAAGCAGCCCGATCCGAGGGAGTCTTCAGAGATTAGTACAAGACATTCTCCATAAAAAGAACATGACAGGAAATCCAAAGACGACGACCAATAGGATCATAGCAGAGATAGCCTTTGAAGCGATCATTGTAGCCGACAAAAACACAATGAACCGTCTTAGGATAAAGTTTATTGCGTTCCCAAAACCCTTTATTTATATGCATTTTAGCATGATTTTTGAAAGATAGGACTTCATACTTTCGTCGATATTACCTCACATAAGGACCCCAATCAACTCAAAAATTTAAGGACCCCAGTCCATTCAAAGTCTGGTTACGCCACTTGTTGGAGTAACTTATGGCTCGTTTGCTTGTTGGATTTGAAAATGAGGGTTTTGAGTTTTAGAAACCTTTGGATTTATGATGGATTTGTTGCATTATGGATTTGGAAGAGTACATTGTTTGTTAGTTGATCTTTTATCATGGATTTATGATGGATTTGTCTCACATGTTTGCCTTCCATTATCAATTCCCAAATGAAATGTGGGATTTGCAAATCCGTGGGGTCCAAGAATTTGGATCTAAAAAAATGGTCAAAATCCATGGACCCCACGGATTTATGTCCCTTAACAAACAATGGCTTTGTGTCAATTCCATGATGTTTGGGATTGGGTACCAAATCCATCACCCAAATCCCACAAGCAAACCATACCTGTAATTCCCAAAAAAAACCTATCAAGCACTGTGATTCGAACTTGTTCGGAGAGGAGTGTACCGTGTTTAAAATCGTTATCCAAAGAAGCTAAAGGTGCACTCCATTAGTTTTAAACAAGACTTTTCTCACTAGAAAACAAAAAACGTATTATTTGGGTACATTTGTGCACATTTTTGTACCTAAAAACAATCACAAAATTACTTGAGATTTATGTGTTTCTGCAGCCTTACTCTTACAATGGAGTCATGCATTGGATTATTGTTGTAATTGCTTCAAATGTGTTCTAGCAACCCTAGGATTTCAAAGTTTAAAATTACTTGAGATTGATTGGAGAATCTTTTGAAATTTTGGGCCTCTATTAGGCGCAATCGATGTTTATGAATGAATGGTGATTGCTTATGTAACACCCTAACCCGGCCGGGTACTACTTTTATCAAAATACCCTTTATAAACCATGAAACAAATAAAAACTGAAAATACTTGAAACAAATAGCGGAAATTTTTCATAAAGGACCTTAACCAATACTGAGAGCATACTGTAAATTCTTAAAACAAAGCTCTAACACTTGGGCTAAACTCAATCATAAAATCTTAATCTGAATCTCCAGTCTATACTCATAATCATAAATTGAAATAACTAAAAGGTCACTAACGTTGTCGTTGCTAAAAACTTTGACTAGACATCGTTCGTAACGCTCGTAGCGTCACTACAAAAAAAAACACCCGTATAGTGTCAGTTTAGTGCCGACACTAATAAAATTTGAGTCGGTTTTGGGCAACCGCTGGAGTAACCGACACGAATGCTATTTGCGTCGGTTAATAACTTACACAACCTATATATCGGAAAACACCATTTCTTAATTAAATTTCAGGTTTAGAGTCGGTTGAACTGACACAAAATAACCGACTCTAATTATACAAATTCTTTAAAAAAAAAATCCAGGTCGCCGTGTTCATCGGCAGACCCAGAGCCGCCACGACTAGATTCATCATCGCCTCGTTGCTCATACCCGCCGCCGACGGATTTCCCTCCCTCGCTGCAACATCCAACACCGGCCTCTCCAGATCGAGTGTTTTCTGCCCCAAATCGTGACCCTTCTCCCCTCCAGCTGATACCTGATTGTGACCCAGGAAAAATCAGAACCCATATCCAAATCGAGAACGCGGGAAGGTAAATCCAGATCAAGCAAACCCTAGATCGTGATGCTGGAAAGAAAACCCAGATAGCACACACCCAAACCGCGAGATCCCCAACGTCGGCATTCACGGGGGAGGAAGGATGAGATCGAGAGGCGACGGACTACCTCAGCAATATGCTGGAGTTCTGCGTGGAGTGGGTAAACTACCTAGACTTCGATTTAGTGGTGGTGGACGACCTGCAGCTAGAGAGCCAACACCCAACGAGCCTCGCTCAGGGCGTAGGAGCTCATAAAGAAAAGCTCGGCGTCGACGTTTGGGTTGGTGGCCCAGGGGTTCTGGTCCATCTCGTGCTCGATGACCAGCTGGTGCGACGGGATAGAAAAATTCTTGATTCCATCTATGGCAGCGCTGGTGACAATGTCGGTGGTGGAGGCGACATCGAACTGCTAGATTTGAAGGTAAGGCGACGGGGAGGCGACGAAAGAGAAGGTGTTGGTGGCGGCATCGAGGTGGAGCTGGGATCGGCGCCTCCGTGGTCCAATTGGGTGGACATGGTTTTTCGAGATGGAGAGTGTTGATACAAGATTCAGGGGGGAGATTGGGAGTGATGGTGATGGAGGAATAAAGAGAGGGAGGCAGTTGGTGTCTCAACTAACTGAACATAGATGGAAGATTGGAAGAAGAAGGAGAAGAGAAATGGAAGAAGGAATCGGGAAGGAAGAAGCATAGGGAGGAGGCATTTGGTTTCAATTGAAGAGATGATGGAGACAGGTTTGGGGAAGAAATAGTGAGGTGGAGTGGTGGTGGGTAAACGAAAAAAGGAGGGAAATATTTCATTTCCCCCAAAAGAAATTCTGGGCTTAAACCCACCACCACCTCCGCTCCACGGATGAACTCCGTTAGTAACCCTCTTCGTATGAGGCCTTCGATTTCGTATCGTAGCTCCCTGCAGTCTTCCGTCCAGTGGCCCGTTTCTCTATGGAAGTCGCAATGCTTCTTTGGGTCGCGCATGTGTGGTGGAGCCTTCAAGGGCGCGGGCCAATTGATCTTGTAACCTTTCTCGCTCAGAACATGGAACACGTTCTTTACCAACTCATTGAGTTGGGTATAGGCGTTTGACAGGCGCCTATCGGGTGATCGTCCCCGTTGTGTAACTGTGCCAATTGCTATTGCGGCACCGGGAGCTGCCTCCGTCCCTGGTCTTCTCGGGGCGGCTTCGCGGGCTCGAAGCGCCTGACAGACCCCGGGCCGAGCATTTCTTCCAGTGTGATTGCTTTCTCGATTTTCATCTCTAGCTCTGTCGATAGTGTGACGGGTCTTTTCGCCAACGCCCGTTTGAGCTCCATGTTGGTGGTGGCTTCCATAAGGTGATGGGCGGCGGTTTCGGGGGTGAGGTCGCGCACGGCCATCGCCACCCTGGACCATCTGGCGTAGAATGCTCGCAGGCTTTCCCCGTCCTTCTGTCTGATGTCTAGCAGCGCCTTGAGGTGGAGAGGCCTTCTTTCTTGGGATGCGAACTTTGTTGTGAACAGGAGTATGAACTCTTCGAACGAGCGGATGATTCCGTTTGGGAGTCTGTTATACCAATCGAGGCATATTCCGGAGAATGTTGACTGGAAGGTTCTGCATAGCGCCGCGTTGGAGTTTGTTTGGAGTTGCATCCGCAAGCAGAATGTGCTCACGTGGTCTTCAGGATCGGTCGTCCCATTATACGTGGGGAGGGCGGGTGGCATTCCGCTCAGGTGCTCCGCCATGATTTCCGCGCTTAGCGGTTGGTGGAGCGCTTTTTTGGGTGGGTTGGGGCGGTATTGCGAGGATAGGTGTTGCTCCAGGAAGCTGAGGTCCGCTCTGCCTGGAAGCTCAGCCTGTTGCGCTTCACACGCAGGGAATCCGGCCGGTGCGGGTTATGGTAACGGGGCCGTCCCTGACGCTTCACCTGGTGCTTGCGGCGGCGCGCTTGGTGTCGCCTCTACTATTATCGTGGCTTCTTTGCTCATCATGAGCGCTATGACTTGGCTCATTTGTTTTTGCATGTCGGCTATGACGTTGTTTTGCTTCGCCATTAGCTGCCTCATTTCTTTGGCGGTCAGCTCGGGCTCTTCTTCTTCGATGAGTACCGCATTGAGGTTGCTGGTTTCCGCGAACGCTCTTGGGTTGGTCATTGCTTTGATGGGCGTCGCTTCGTCAGGTAAGTTGGGGTTATGCTCTGCCATTGGTCGGTTTTCTTTTGCTTCTCTGCTTGGCCCCACGGTGGGCGCCAATTGTTTGAACCTAACTGAGTGTAGGAGTGAGGTTCGGTAAAGAAAGTGGGTCAAGGGAAGTAAGCAATGAGAATCAACTATATGACCAAGAACAAGAACAAAGATCAGGGAGAAGGAGGCTGAGAGAATTAGTATCTTAGAGAGAGAAGTTGATGAATGTAGAGAGAGTTCCCAAAATGCGATCCCCTCACCCACCGGAGTAAATGCCATATTTATAGGCTACATGGTGGTGGTGAGTTACATGATGATATGACAACTGACATGACCACTGACATGACAGGGACTCAGGCCACGACTCTACCTAGGAAAGGACGTCTAGCCCACAACTATACCTAGGACTATGATGGTGACTACTCCTCGGGGGGGGCGCGGTGTCGTTTTCGTGGTCTCGGTCAATGCTGGCCCCGAACGTCGTCGTTCTGTGTATTGGCGCAGCTTTCGGGCGTGGGTTGTGGCCATGGTTGCGTCGGTAGTGGCGCGCCTGGCCTCTAGGAAGGCGTCGTTTTGGGTATTTCCTTGGCGCGGCGAGATTTGAGTCACATACCCAACACTAAGAATTATCCAAATGTTGACTTTTAATTAGCAATTTTGTTAGTAATATTGACTTGACAACATAATATTGACTTTTAATTAGTAATTTTAATGCATTACAAAAAATTGGCTAATAATAGCATTTTAATAAATTTGAATAATATAAAAGAAGCTGAAAAAATTTGAATAACCAGAAAAAACTTAAAAAGATTTAAATAAAAAATAGATATCATTTTTTAAAAATAGGAAAAACGTTTCCCAACTCCATAAGGCCATACTTTGTCCACCACTCCTCCCATGTCATGTCATGATGACTGCACCAACCTCTTCCTTGTCATATCTGACCCTCCTCTCCTCTTGGCTCTTACCTTACCTACCCCCATTTCGCGGTCCTTCCACTAACGCCGTTAATCCTCCCATCCATATCCATCCCACTGCTTCTCAGTTCTCACCCTCTCTCTTTCCCTCCCAAAAAAAAGTCCACCGGTAGCCACCGCTACCACGAGCCTCCGTCTCACCTAACGATCTCCACTCACGCCACCAGATCCCTCCACTTTTCTCTAATATAACAACCCCTCCTCCAAATCCCCCAATCGAACACCAAACCTTCCACCAACCTCCCTTCCCCGCAAGTCAATCGATCCTCTCCTAATTTCTAATTCTCCCCAATCAATCAATCAATTTCCTTCCGCCATGGATCTCCTCCTCCTGGAGAAGACTCTGTTGGCCCTCTTCTCCGCCGTCGTGGTCGCCATTGTAATCTCCAAGCTCCGCGGCAAGCGATTCAAGCTCCCTCCCGGCCCCTTTCCAGTCCCCATCCTCGGCAACTGGCTCCAGGTCGGCGATGACCTCAACCACCGCAACCTCACCGACTACGCCAAGAAATTCGGCGACATCTTCCTCCTCCGCATGGGCCAGCGAAACGTCGTCGTCGTCTCCTCCCCGGACCTCGCAAAGGAGGTCCTCCACACCCAGGGCGTCGAGTTCGGGTCCCGCACCCGCAACGTCGTCTTCGACATCTTCACCGGGAAGGGACAGGACATGGTGTTCACCGTCTACGGCGAGCACTGGCGGAAGATGCGGCGCATCATGACCGTCCCCTTCTTCACCAACAAGGTGGTCCAGCACAACCGCCAGGGGTGGGAGAACGAGGCGGCCGCGGTGGTGGAGGACGTGAAGAAGAATCCGGAAGCCGCGACCGCCGGGATCGTGCTCCGCCGCCGCCTGCAGCTGATGATGTACAACAACATGTTCCGGATCATGTTCGACCGGCGGTTCGAGTCGGAGCAGGATCCCCTGTTCAATAAGCTCAAGGCGCTGAACGGGGAGCGGAGTCGGTTGGCGCAGAGCTTTGACTACAACTACGGCGATTTCATCCCCATCCTGAGGCCTTTCCTGAGGGGTTACTTGAAGGTCTGCGAGCAAGTGAAGGAGAAGAGGCTGAAGCTGTTCAAGGATTACTTCATCGAAGAGAGGAAGTAAGTGATGGGACCCGATTGCAATCAATTTTTGGTATTTGGGTCATCGAGATTGATTGATTTGATTTTGAGGTGAATGAATGGTGGTAATTTTGAAAAATCAGGACATTGATGGGCACGAAGCAGACGACCAACGACGGGCTGAAGTGCGCGATGGATCATATTTTGGAGGCACAGCAGAAGGGAGAGATCAACGAAGACAATGTCCTCTACATCGTCGAGAATATCAACGTCGCCGGTACGTTTCTCTCCCCCTTTTGTTGCTTGTAACTTGTCCGTGTTTACAGTGGGCATCATATTTTTGTTTTTTCACAGTAGAGGTAGTGTTTGGTTTTCCGCGATCTTTCTGAATGGTGTGACTATTAATTGCTCCACGTGGGCTGTGCATTCATCAATCATCACCTCCTTGTTTTTTCTTTTCTTTCATATTACTAACTAAAGATAACGCAGAAGAAAAATAAGGCAAAGAAAGTAACAAGTGGGAAAAGAAAAGATGCAGTTATTTGGGATTAAGGTGACGATTAGGTTATTTTGATTAATACAATAGTATGGTGAGATAGGCTTTGTACTTTGTTTCAGTGGTAACTTAGAATTAAGTTGCTGCTGGGTATATGACCACGGCCTTTTTTAATATTAATAATAATAATAATAATTAGTATTATTATTATATAATTGAAGTGCTTAAGGACCAATCTAATGATATTATCACTGATCTTAAATTTGAAGATTTCAAGCAGCATCTTGAAAACAATTATATATTACTCTTATTTGAAAAATATATATTATTGATTATGTTGGAATTTGGAGTATGAGCGGAGGTTTCCAACTTCCACTAGTACACGGAACTGAAACTAAGAAAATCCGGTAGCCATAGGCCTGCTGTGTGTAATTGAAGGGCACATGGTCCATTGGTCTTGGACTTTTGGCCACCCGTCAGCCTCTTTCTTGTTGAAGATTGCTTTGGTTTCTTACTTTCCGGCACCTTTTCCCCAATCTCAAACTTGTTTCCTTTTTGTTATGTTTTGTCATTTGTGTGCTACTTTGACTGGTTCGCCTCACAAATTCATTTTTACGAACGTGAACGTAAACGTGATGATGACTAATTTCATAATTGCAAATAGAGTAAATTCTTTTTTTTCTTTAGAAACTCATTTCCTTGCCGCTTGCATCCAAATAATTCGAACAATCTGGCAGAAAGATAAATATATTTGGCAACGCGTCAAATTCTCATGCTCCTAAGATTTTGTAAATTAGATCCTGTATTATAATTCTACCCACATATGCTAAATATGCTCACGAAATGTGGTAGGTGTATTCGAAACATATATTAACTTTATTTACATTAAGTAGTTCGAATTTGTTTGCATGTGGGGTAACCCAATTAATTGACAAATTCTTGATTTTGATGCACACCCTAATTTAGGGGTGTTCAAATGGTTACCATAGTTATAAGCAAATCAAATAAGGCTAAATTCCATTAACCATGGAATAAAATATCATAACCAAACCGTCCAAACTAATACAACAATCAAATTAACCAAACTAAAGTTTAATCGATTTGGTTAATTGGTTAACCAGATTAACCAATATAAAATCACATTATCATTGACGATGAAAATTTTCCGGTTAATGCAACAATTCGCAATTTATATAATGAATAAAACATAACAACCAACACGTAGTTACAGTTGACCATTAACAAAAAATACATGCAACTAAGACAATTATCTTACGATTAGTATATAAGTTTCACCTAACAAAAATTTATGACAATGGTATGGGTTAATGAATTGTTGTGTTTGTGTAAATTGACTTAGTCTCTTAGCAATTATCATAGGCTGGAAATGACCTTTCTTTCAAGTTTTCATCCATCATAATGTATGCAATTTATCTAAATTAGGCGTCCATATGTTGTGGTCTACATTTTACATATACAAATATACACTATATGAGCAATATTGAGCTTTATATTTTATGAGTCTAAAAGGGATGAACGTTAACTCTTGAGTGGTTATGCAAAGTATTAAGTATGTGTATATAATATACGTTAGATATATGACTAATTACTTAACTGGTTAATTTGGTTTGACTGGTTAGGAGTGTCTGAAACCAAACCAAACCACCTAAACCAAACAAGCTAAAAACTTTTACCAAACCAAACCAAACAAAACTAATTATCCAAATTAACCAAACCAAATTATCTAAATAGTACCGGTTAAAACGGTTACCATGGTAACCAAACCGTTTGAGCACCCCTACCATAATTGATGTAGGGCAACCCGTACCTAACTCACTTAACCACGGGTCCCGCTTACATCACAAGTTGAGATTACTTGTGAGATATATCTAATTCTTTTACTTCTTTATCTAGGTGACAATTACGTATTGACATTGCATATAGCAATTGGATCTCCCACCAACCCTAATAAATAAATAAATAAATAAATAAATAAATAAATAATTCCCCCCAAACCCACCTACCACACTCCAATGTCTTTTTCTACATAAATTTATGATCTGCTTTTTTCTTCTTCTGTTACTGGCTGCTGAAGTGCTAATCGACTTTTTTGGCGCAGCCGCCAGCTTTTTGACATCCACATACCAGCATTCTTTTATTTTGGCTTTGGGTGATGATTGATGAATCCTCTTGGATTATAGAAAAGAGAAAAAGAAGAGCATTACATAGAAAGTGTTTCTAGTTGGTGGGCTTAGAACAAACTTCAATTAACTAGGCTCCACACTGGCTTGACCCACAACAATTTGGAATAACTATTTGACTTATTCTAACTGCTGCTGTTGTGAAATTTGAACAGCCATTGAAACCACATTGTGGTCGATCGAGTGGGGAATCGCGGAGCTGGTCAACCACCCACACATCCAACAGAAACTAAGGGAAGAACTGGACACTGTTTTGGGAGCAGGCCAACAGATCACGGAGCCGGACATCCAGAAGCTGCCTTACCTCCAGGCCGTGGTCAAAGAGACCCTCCGTCTCAGAATGGCCATCCCACTCCTCGTCCCCCACATGAACCTCCACGACGCCAAGCTCGGCGGGTTCGACATCCCCGCAGAGAGCAAGATCCTGGTCAACGCGTGGTGGTTGGCCAACAACCCGGCCCAGTGGAAGAACCCCGAGGAGTTCAGGCCCGAGAGGTTCCTGGAAGAGGAGGCGAAAGTCGAGGCCAACGGGAACGACTTCAGGTACCTTCCTTTCGGCGTCGGGAGGAGGAGCTGCCCTGGAATCATCCTCGCCCTCCCCATTTTGGGGATTACCATTGGACGCCTGGTGCAGAACTTTGAGCTGTTGCCTCCGCCTGGACAGTCCAAGCTCGACACCTCCGAGAAGGCCGGGCAGTTTAGCTTGCACATCGCCAAGCACTCCACCATTGTGGCTAAGCCCAGGTCGTTTTAAAGAAAGTTGTACATCATTTTCCTTCTTCTTCTTCTTCTTCTTCTTCTTCTTCTTCTTCTTCTTCTTCTTTCCTTTTCTTCTTTTGTCTGTAATGGTACGTACTCTTGTAGTGTAGTTTGTGATGGATGAGCTGGGAGGAAAGGGAGACAGGACAATTTCTTTCACTTTTAACGTGATTCTGGATTTGGGTTTTACTATAAAAGTTTAATCATGTATCAAGTGTTGTACCGTGTAATAATTCTGTTGATGAGGTGTCGCACTTTAATCAATATTAGATAATTGGCCCGTCCGCGGCGGGCAACGATGAAACTGACAAATTTGATATTTTGATTGCAATTAGATTTAAATTGACAAATTTTTTATTAGTTTTCTTAAAAGTGGATACCACTTCGTATTTGTGGAGGGCTTCAAGAAAGACTTTCTTAAATGATTTATCATGCATATAATTTGTTTGATACACAGTTGGTAATTGAAATAAGTCAGGATGAATAGTTTTATATGTACAGAAGGGAAACCCAAGAAAATATTAAAAAATTAAATATTCTTATGATATCTTATAATTTTAAAACAACATTGGGCTAGTTTGACCGTGCTTTACCTTTTGCAAAACCAGCTTTTGACTCGAACTTTTAAAATGCACTAAAAACACAGTTTAGTGTTTAGTTGAAAAAATATCGGAATTGTTTTTTAATTTAAGAGTCCATGTAAAATGGATAAAAACGCAAAAAATGAAATGTAGTTAAAAGTCTTGTTTGATTTCTTTTATATTAAATTATATTATTTTCTAGTTTATTTTTGTTTTGAATAAGATAAATGAAGGAAAATTATGTCCCCTGGAAATTTTTTTTAATATAATAAAGATAATCTTGTACTTTCAAACAAATTTTTGATATAACTCCAAATCGAATCCCCTGTTATTATATTATAAAAAGTATTTTTTAAAATTTTCTTCAAAACCCGAAGTGTTTGGTCCAATTTCAACTTTTGAAATAGAAAAACAATTCTAAAATCGGGCTAAACATAAATATTAGTCAAAGGTGTGTAATTCCTATCAATGACTAAAAAGTAAAAATTGACATCTTTATATTTTTAATTGAATTCAACGTTGGCTTTCGGCAATTCTCTCATCAAATTAAATGTAACCTTTCATAAATTCTAATGGTGTAAATAAACATGCATCGACATATCAACGACCCGTTCTTATTTCATGAACTTTCAAAAGATTGAGTAGTCAACAAATCCAAAATATTAACAGGCTGTTTTTATATTTTATATTCCAATTTATTTTTTCTAGCAGCTTCTTCAAGTCCCTAATTAGTACATACACGTGAACAATGGAAGAGTGTCCCTTCCCTAAGCATGCATCATGATTAACCAAGTCCACAACTTCATTTGTCTCTTTACTTTTTAAAGTTTTCTTCTACCTCTTTCAATTCCCGTCCTCTCTCCCTCGGCGCAAACGCTTCAACAAATCAAAACTTGGGTGGCGAGTTTAGAGTTGTGAAGGAAAGAGAAGTCGGATTTTAGACTCATGACATTGAGCCGGATTAAATTACTTTTACTAAAGCTTATAATCTCAAAGATGCCATCTTGCATCGCATTTGGAGCATTTGGAGTCTAGACGGATGAAAGCGCGGTGATTTGTATTTCCCATTCAAGTGGTTTAGCAAGTGAGAATGGAGGGATATTCAAAAAGTGTTTAGTTTGTTGCAAAGGTAAGTGTACCTATTCATCTTTGCATGGAGAATTTGGAGCAAATGGGGGACAGTCGGAAAGGGGCTCTGTTTTTGCAACCTCAGTTTTTTCATTAGAGCTTCGGAATAGGAGGATATTGTCGATTTGGATGGCCAAGAAGAGTTTTATTTAATTTCAATTTTATTTAGTGGGCCTGTCTGTCTGATGTTCTTACTTTTTTGCATGTATCTCATTCAATTCCTCCTTGCAGATTGAAGCGGAAACAAACTTGGTCACTCAGCGCTCCGATTTGCCGGTTGCTTTTCAAATGTTGGCGGCGCTGAGCCGGAGGTGAGTCAAAACTTAAATCGAAACCCTCTTCCGATTCATCGTGGGAGAGGGGAAGAGAACGAAGGAGCTTCCGGAGGGGGCTTACGGTTCTTTTCTCAAATCCAGAAGCAGAGGTAAGAGTCCAAACTCAGCCAGCCACCAATCAGAAAATGGGAGGAAGAACCATGATAGAAAATTGGCTATCCAACTTGGCCAATCGCCAATCGGTCGACAGGGGGGATCATGAATCGGTAATTGTTGAGGGTGATAATGCGAACGAAAGAAGTGGCGGGTAGGAAGCAGGGGATCTCGGGACGGAACAAAAGAGGTGCACAGGTGCTTACGGTGTACCTACCCGTAGCCCACTGGACCCCTTAAGCAATTAGGCGCTATTTATATACTAATAAATCCACCATCTTGGAATATTGGAGATATTTTTTAGGCACTTATAAAATATATATTGTTATAGTTAAAGTTTGCCAATTGTGACAAATATAACACTTTAGTGAATATTAATATAGTCATTTCGTTCGTAAAATTTTGAATAATTTTGAATTTAACAGGCACCTGATATTTTTTTGTTTACTCTCTTTTCATTTGCATATCCTTTTTTGGTGTACCTTGTAAGACAAGTGAGTTCTTCATTTTTCACTATTTTAATTGAGCAAAAGCAATTTTTGTGTTTTTACACTGACTATTGTAATTTGAGTACCTTATCCCCTATCCGTGTGGAGAGACAATGCTATAGAGAGGTATCGGAAGCACTATTTGTGCCTTCGAAGCACAATTGTCAAACGAATAGAGGTTGCTAAGTTGAACCTTTTATATTGCCTCTAACCAATGAGTGATTAACCTTTGTAACTACTGCGTCGCGCATGAGTTTTCCATATACATCTCACCTTCTTCCCTTTCTTTTAACCACCATTTTAGCCGACAATGTCAAATGCATCATACGAATTGTCGACGCCTCATTCCTTCACAATATTGAACCCATAGTGTCCAATAACTGTTCCCTTTCAACCTTTTCACAACTCCTCAACACGACTGCCGGAAAAAGGGGGCTATAGCTATGCCCACGACCTTGCTGTCGACAACCGCTGCCTTTCGAATCTTACCACTGCTCCCGCCCTCACCACTTCAGACTTCAGTTATTGAAAAGATATACTCTTCTCCTTCTTTTCCCCCCTGCGTTCTTCTGTCCCCAACTTACGTCCAACCTAGATTTCTACTTGTCCCGTACAAATGCAGTAGCTTTCTATTGCTGAACTCTCTAACGATCATCAACCAGTCTCACTGTGGTGTTGTCTATCCAAAAAAATTACGGCATAAAATTCCAAAAAGGATTATGCGATATGTCTGGAACTAGTGCTCATCAATTCAGAGGTATTCAGCACCGTCTAATTTTTTATTATCTGCTTTGGTCGAACTATTTCTTAGTAAATGAGTGTTGGTCACCGCATGGGAATGATATGGGCTCAGTTGCCACGAAACTCTATTCGGATGGTTGGTGCTCAACTGGAGGAGCAAAGTTCTATGAATTTCAGAAATTCAAAGTTACGTAAACAAAGCCTGGCAATCGACCCGTTCTTAATCCCTTGATGATCCAATTTGATGATGGAACCACCGTGCATCCTACTGATCCAATTCCAAATGTGTTGCAGTTCAAGTTCAGATTCATCAAATCCGGTGACATTCCCAAATACTTTGGAGACACCGGCGATTTACTGGGTCATAATCCTTTTTATCTCTAAATTTCAAAATTTTCAGTGAGCATGCTGAATATGTGATGTGTGTTTTGCATATGTGATATGTAATCTTTTGCGTGTTTCACCCATCCTGCTCCCGCAATCCTTTACTACCAAAACACCTAGGAACGATATCCACATCCTTTTACCTGAGTGATCGTATGAGTTCTATAGTCATTTTATCCATTTATTCACTATGTTTATGCATGAAACTCAAAGTTTGATTCGGGTCCAATTGTACACATTTTATCCTCATTTTCCTTAGACGTTTGATGCATTTATACTCCGTGAGGTGTGGTTTTACGCTAGGTTGCACATTGTTTTAGTATGTTTCAGATCCTAGCCGGTGAAACTGACCTAGGAATAGAAAGTGGGACGAAAAAGGGGTGAAAACGAGTCAAAGAGTGGAAGCAGCTGAGAATCACGATGGAAGATGAGACTACTAGGCTTAGTGTCACATTGGCCGATCGTTCTGTCATTAGTCCTATGGGTATTGTGGAAGACGTAATAGTAAGAGTTGGCAAATTCTTCTATCCGACAAACTTTGTGATCCTTGATATTAGCGAGGACTCGAATATGCTACTCATACTTGGACGTCCTTTCCTTGCCACCGCCAAGGCATTGATTGATGTGAATGATGGTACTTTGATATTGAGGGATGAGGAGGAGAGAATTATCTTTTCGGTTGGCACTAAGAGTAAGATGGATGTTGCTAAGGTAGTGGACTTGAGCAATGAGGTTGCAAGTGGTGGTAAGTTGTTTAAGGGAAACCCTGCTAATGTTTGTGTGCCATTTGATGATGAGGTGCCGGAAACCAAGGCGGGAACCAAGCCCGAAGGAAAGAAGAAGAAAGCATGAAGAGAAAAGCTGAATCACGCTTATGCCTGAAAGAAAGATAAGGGTAAGGCAAACGTGTCGGGCCAAGAAGACCACCCTATGGAGCTCAACGTTGGAGACGACAAGCCTCGCCACGAGACTGTGGAGGATCCACTCTTGGAGGCTTCATGATTGCAGGCGTGATAGATCCGCAACGTCAAGCTAATGACATTAACTTAGCGCTTGTTGGGAGGCAACCCAACGCGGTTTGTTTTCTTTTTATTGTGATTGAGTGAAGAGTTCAAGTGGGTGAACTGTTATCAAAATGCCAACATGTTGTGTTTGACTGATTGGATTTTGAGTGTGTTTGAGTTAGGGGGCACGATTGATTAGGTCAAGTTTTGAAATTTTGGAATGTGCTTTGTTTTCACTCAGTTCATGGTTTTAGCCTCATTATTACGGTATTAGCGACCGTGATAATCGGGTGGAGACCGTGAAAAAGGGCAGTTCCAGTAGTTTTTGAAACACACCGTTTTGTCCCGAGATCACGGTCTGGGAGTTATGTTCACGGTCTTAGAGAACGTGAATAGACGCCTCCATCCGTGAACATCGAGATAGGGCTATATAAGAGCGTAAACCCTTCTTCACTTCACGCCACCCCCTCGTCGGAATTCTCTGAAACTCGTCAAAAAACCGTGCCCTCTTGCTGTTTTTCATCGACTTTCGGTCACCAAAATTCAACAGACCCATTATCACCACTCATGGGCACACATTCGCCGAAGT